ATTAAGCTCCTAGGGGCCATGGCTGTATGTCTCTGGCATTCCATGCACCTAAATTCAGGGTGGCTTTCAATCAAGGCTTCCTGAGTTAATGAACTCTCTGGAATCCCATCTAACAATAACGTAATGTTAAAATCCTTATGATTGCTTTCTTGCCTTTGATGATTTTATAACCTAATGGGAAAATCAAGCTTAACACTCTTGAAACATTAAACTCTCATATACCTGCCATATAACTCAGGCCTGATACATTATTGATTTCAGCTTTCTAAAAACAAAATTATGGGAAAAAGTTCTAAGTTGCTTGAATGGGCCCCATTTATTGGGTTAGTTTCTAGAAAGAGAAAAAAAATGTTAGTAGAGCTCAAGAAAACATATTTAAAACCTTATTTTCACACTGAAAATCAAGGCTCATATTCCCAAATTATTTAGATTGGTTGCCTGGTTTATTGTAGGATAAAGCAAACAAACTAGTGTATAAAGAGCCTAATAATTTGTTCAGTATTTTGCTTGCTTAGAGTCACTGGCAAAATACTATAACCTTGTTAAGTATCTGCTACACAAGACAAGAAAGAAACATTTCACTAATCTTTATAATTCCAAATAAATTTGGACAGATATCTATAATTCTGTTTCCATCAGCCCTAACCCCATCTCAAGGAGACTGGTGCATGTTTTAATTAATTTGTAATATCAACAACTTATGCATTTTTGTCAACAACCACTATGTCTTAAATGTTATGAAATGAGTCACATAAATAAATATTGTGTCTCCATCTTCTTGTTTAAAATGTGGAATTACTGAGGCCTTCCACTTAAGAATATCTTTTTTAATGGTGCCTCAATATTTTAGCTTAATCTTTTCAATAAATGCAAGGACAAACCATACCACTTCAGGAGTCTTTTAGCCATATTTAATGATTAGCCTATCTGACTTCAGGTGAAGCCTTAAAGTCCTCTTTGTAAAGTAAAATGGGCGTTATAAAGTCTACAGAACTTTTTCTGTGTTCCCTGTTAACGTTCTTTATTTTAATAACAGACTTCTGTGTAATTAATCCCTAGGAGTTTGCCGTCACATAATCTACCCTGTGTATGAACTGTTCCATGTGTATTTTTCTGGGAACAAGACCTCTGGAAAAAATAAACAAATAAACAAAGACCAAAAGGAGTCATGCACAAGGGGACAAATTGTGTGAAACACAACCAGTCTCATACACTCACAAAACAGGCAACAAGGATAAAACTTCTCAATTCATCTTATCAGAGATTTAGGGGCAGGGGTTTCACTCTAAAGATTTCTTTTTCCCCTTTGACAGGAAACTGTACTATTTCCTTATTTGGGAGCTACAGCAATAAGGCAGTCATAAATAAATGGCGCATAACTACTTCCTAGTCAAGTAAAGTTGTGCATTTGGTTTTGTTGTTTTTTTTTATTGGATTGTCTCCCACACTTTTTGCCTAATCACACAAGTTAAGAATTTGGCTGAGAAAAAAAAAATGTGATGGACTGAAATTTCAACAACAAAGCTAGAATTTTATTATTTCTCATAAACTCATTTCACACAAATTAACAATGCCCAAACAAAAGAAAACTACTATATACTTATTCTTTGAAAACACTTTTGAAACTTGCAAAATTCTCATTTCAAAATCGAGAAAAATGTAATTTTTGCAGAGTAAATGCAGACCACATTCACTCCATTTAAAAATATTCCTGTAAAGACAGAAATTGGCGATTTACTCTAAAAAAACACAGCAAAAACTGGGAAGGAACTTGAGGATGCTTAAATTTCCACTGTGGAACAACTTCTGCTGCCCAGTGGGAAGAAAAAAAAAAACACCTGCAACAGGATGGGAGGAGAAGAAGACAAGCTACGACTATACACCCAGATGGTAAAGCTAGGCAGTCCCTAGCCTGTGAAGTGAGGCAGCTGACAGGATACGAATACACATACGTACCAAGAACATGAAGGCGAATCCTGAAGCCACCTGTCACCTCAGGGAAAGACAAGAAGGCAGTATTTGTAAGAGAGATTAGGCCAGCGCACACCGACACTGATGAGCTTAAAGTGCCTTTTAACTAGAGGAAATATTAGTGAGGTGCTGAAAGTTGCTGCCACCAACTGGGCATCAGGCAGACTCAGGGGTTACAAATCACTTTCACTTCATAAATGGTGCATTTCCATTAAAATGGTAAACAGGTTTTACTTTAGTCAAAGAGGTTAGTTTTAAAGCTGGTACTATTTTAACTAGCAAAAATAGAATTTTAAGCAATAACTGGGAAAATGTAACACACAACTGCTTTCCCTGATGACTTATGCAGCAGGGCATGGTTCAAAGACTTATTCATGGGAGACTGTAATAGCAGTGAGCAGAGAGAATACATTTAAATGCTATTCAAATTTAACATCAGAACTGGCATTTGTTTAAAATGAATCGGAAAACTTTTGACCCAGCAATCTATTTTTATTCATTTATACCACATATAAATTTGCACACGTACACACGTAGGGTGTAGAAGAATGTTGGTAATTGCACACAAAAATGATATAGTCTAAAGAGCTATCATTAGGGAACTGTGCCAGCCACATTATGGAATTCTATATGCCAAGAGAATGCATGAGGTAGATCCATATAAGTTTATAGATGGATGCACTAACAATATATGAAAGTGAGCAAGGTTCAATACAGTATGTACATGAATTAAAAAGAACACATACCAATGGGGGGAAAGGAGACATATTGTAATACTTTCAACAATAAAGAACTTTTTTTTTTAAAAAAAGGACACACCTATATTTGTGTATATATACATATATATTCGTGTGTACATGTATTTGTATATGTATAGGTATATGCCTATAATTTTTTAAATGCCCAAGAAAATGGTCTCTGAGTACTAAGTAAAACAATACTTTTAATTGTATATCGTTTTAAATTATCATTTTTACCTCCCCAAATAGATAACATGAGAATAACAATAAAACCCCTTATAGTATAAAGGTTCATTATTATATTATATCATATCATACAAACATATAATATTTATACTGTAAAGGTTAATTTTAATTATTTTTAAAACATGTCCATAGGTAAAATCTTAAAGGTAACATGAGAATTAGGAATAGTCATAACTGCTGTTCTATTTAATATCATGTTTATAGGAAGGCTTTATAAATAGTTTGCACTAGGGTAACATCTGTGTTAGGGAGCAAATACTACGAGGAACAGAGAGGGTTGTCTCTCTATCGTCATAAACATGTAAAACCCAGCAGAAGGAAGCGCTGGTGTGAGTGCAAGTGTGGACATCCTGTTAAGCAGCAGAGCTTAGTTTCTGCTTCCACACTGAGTCTGTGCCTCCCAAGGAAACACCCTGGTTGGTGATAGCACATAGAGATGAGACAAATGTCTGTCTGGCCGGGTCTGATGTCTTCCTGCAGACTTTCCTCCACAGAATTAAACCCCCACTCTCTCTCTCTCTTTCTCTCTCTCTCTCTCTCTCTCTCTTTCTCTAGGAACCATGGCATCAAGCTTAGATATCAAGATAAGATTACATAGCAGAAATATTTTTGAAGGAAAAATGCTGGAAAAATTAGGTCTTTTTGAGAACATATGAGAAATCAGAGTTTCGGTCCACCTATTGAACTTGCAATGGGCCTCACACACAGAGCAATCAGTGCCTGCTGCCTGATGGGGATCCGGCTTCACAGGGTAGGCAAACTGTCTTTCCAACACTGGCGGAATCCCACACAGACCAAGATGGAACTAAATTAATCGTAACTATTTCCTGGGGTCAGGAAACCACACGATTTACCACAGTCTAAGTGCGTGGCTCTGACAGTCATCGTGTCCCCGGTCCAGATCAGGATTCAAAAACCCATCTGTCAGTTTAGTGCACTTTTTATTCCCTACCTGGGCCACACCAACACCCATGTCACTACAGGTATAATTAAAACAGCCCAGAACAAGAAATAATAAGTGAACTGTTCGGCCGCATATCCCGGAGACAACATCACTTGGTCACTCAGGGCCCTATAATCAAGCTACAGAACTCCTCAAAAAAAAAGAGCAACAATGAGAATCATAAGCACTTCATGGAAAGCCTCTGAGTATTTCCCGTCTGGGTTCACTTAATAGGCTCCTCCCAGGAGATAAAATGGGTCATTTACAGTCCATCCTGCTGCTCCGATGGAGGCTTGACGTTAACCGCAGAAAGGAATTTCTTTCTCAATCTGAACGATTTTAAAAGCAGTGTATTCCCTATGCAGTCGAGCTGCCTAGTTTAAATAGTTCGTGCTGAAACAGTTTCTGTAACAGGGGCATAGGAAGCTGGTGAAGTGCCCAGCTGCACGCACCCAACACATACACCACCGGTTTAAAACACCCTTTAAGGCTGGGCCACAGCAGCGTTAGTGCCCCGGTGAAATGAAGAGCTCCTTACAACCCAGAAACATGCTCTCAGAAACTCCTGCCCTGCTGTGCTTCCAGCGTCCACCTCTGAAGAGCACTGCTACTCAGAAAACTCACTCCCTAATTTTAATAGCACGACTTGGAGGACGCTGACCACTCACTGTGTGTCTTCTCCCACTGTCCCTGGAATCCCTCCCCGCCCGTGCTCCCTTACAAACGGAGTATCTGCAAAGATGCCCACAGGAAAGCACTTTCCCCTAAACCCAGGCGGATTGAAATGAAGGGAAAGGAATGGACTTCTCTACTCTCAGTCGCAGCTCCTCCCCTTCTTCCTCAAAGAACCCTCCTGGCCTCCCAAAATCGGCCTCGACAATGGCCCAGGATTCCTTTTCACCATGACCTCGCCTCTGGGGCAGGAATCCTTGGAGTGGTTTATCCTCGAATGCGTAGAGGACCGGGTCACCCTTGCACCTCTAAGGTGCCCCCAGGAGGTCTTGTGAGGGACACTTCCCCGGTCGGGGTTCCATCCCCTCAGTTTCTCTGGAGGAGAGGGAGGGGAGACCCACCCCAGAGGAGCTGCCCCGTTGCCTTACCCTTTCAGCGCGTCGTGTCCGCCGCCGCCTCTTCTCTTGGCCCGGCTGGCTCGGGTTTCCTTCGCGTTCCCAGCTGCCACATTGGTGTCCGCCCCGTGGCTCGTGTAGGACGCTAAGAGCACGGTAAATCCCAGGGCGACCT